TTCGCGTAAGCTACAAATGAACTTGACCTTGATTGGTCTGACGCATAACCGTGAAAATATGGTCTTTATCGTAAGTATGTAGAATAAATTTCGTGTGGGAAGTTGCAGTCTGTATTTTCGAAAAGCTGGATGCTAGAGAAGATAATTATTTCAAAATTACCAGAACAAAAAATCGAGACGAACAGTAATATTTTTCCCAGAAAGGATTTATTACAGCAAACAAGAGTAGCTAACACGATGAGAAAACAAAATCAACAAGGCTGGAATATCAATCATAATCAGAATGAATGCGGGTAAAAGTTAAAGTATACGAGTTCAGGAAATGGGACGCGAACCATTCAACATAAACAACAATCGACAATAATTTTCTACACTATCAAAAGACACCGCAGTTTCCTCGAGTTTTCTACCTATTAGATTATTTTGTACGTGTATATCACATTTATCAGAGATAAATATATTCACGTCAAAATTATTAGCAGAAAAAGATTATGAATAAAAAAAAGCAATGGATTTCAAACCACATACAGAACTAAAATCAACATTCACTTTTGATGCTAACGAAAGTGAGCATGAAATATTATCAAAATATAAATATTTCCCACGTGTCCTTCTACAACAACCGAATGGTTAATAAACCTGTTTCAACAGCACTATTTTGAATATATTTTCCTTAAGATTTTCAATATTAAAGGTTAGCAACACTGCGAATGTGTTTCTCTATATAAAGCTTCCTCGGGCAACAATCAAAAACAAAACCAACCAACGAATCAATTTCAACACATGGATACATCCAACTGAACCGGAATACTATCCAAACAAAAACACAATATTATTCTGTAGCGTTCATTATAACGTTACACGTCCAGACAAGTTTTATTACATGACGAAAGCGGAGCCTGCAGAAAGAGCACGATACGCTGCGTTGCCTAAACTTTTTATACACGACAAGTGCATCGAAAACTTGGCAACCGGGCCAAGTCTCCCAAACCCTCTACCTTTCCGACCCCAACCGTATCGATGTTGCAATGTTGTCACATCGACAGAACATCAACGTATATAATGCGTGTGTGACAGACAAGTCTAGAAGCAACAGCCACTTAATATGATCACATTACATATGTTTCTAATAGAGAACGACGCATAGATTTGGCGTTTTTAATTTAAAAAAAATCAAGGGCGTCGCAATCTTTGCTCAGAAAAATATCAGTTAATAAAAAGGAGTATGAGTTTCAACACATGTCACAACATGTATTGCATTACAAGTTTCTGAAATACAAACGTTTTGTTTCGTTAAAAAGTACGAAATAATGCTTGAATCCATAAAAAATGGTTTTTTGCCCAATTTCAGTGCGATTCATTCTTTGGCGTGTCCTGACAGAAAAATAACGGCTAATTTCATCAAATATAAAAATGCATCAATGGAAATGCAATGTGTCGTCTCTCGGAATAACATGTTTATTATTCATTGAATAAAAATGTATTCCAAGACATTTTCAGAGAGTCTAACAATCTGTCTTATCTACATGTCCTAATTCAGGGGTTTCCATCTGATCAGCATTAATTTTTAGATTATCAAATGCCACTGAAGATACTGAAGTTAATGGACACATGAGCGATTTTTGGTTTCTTTCGATAACCAGTACTTCGTCAATCAGCTTATAATGCAGGTAGAAAACTCAACTTTCATATAATCCTACTACATTAACATAATCCTACTTTGATATTTCTGACATGATCATCATTGGTCTACTGCGCCGAAGGGCAGCAAAGACCACAAAAAGAAGAAGAAGAACCACTCATCTCACTCACAAATTCGGTTCTCGATCATAACTCTCAACAGAAAAACTTCATCAAAAGTTCTGCGAAATCGTGGAAGGTTTCAAATAATCATACAAGATCAGTAGGATCGAAACATAAGTATGAGCGCCAAATCAAAACTGAATATAATATTGACGTCAATTGTATTCTAAATAAAGATAAATGAATTAACGATTGTGATATAGGTTATGTGTTTGTCCGAGACACATGTGCTTCATTGATTGTGACAACGCAAACGTTCTCAAAGAAATTAATTTATAACAATTACATAACGCGAGTATGACAAAAACAAATCAATTTCACTGTGGAGTGGTATATTCTTACACTGAAAATTCTCTAGGAATTTATTTAACCTCGCCTTATCTGCCGCTCTACTAATAAACAATATCACGAATGTGCGAGTTAAAGAAAAAGGAAGGTCTCACCGTTCACGTCTCAATCAAAGCGACAATATTCAACTGTTCCAGTATATCAGAGTTACCTCAAAATTCTTACTTAGGGTCCAAACCACGACCCAAAGTTAATATGCAAAAAAGAGTCCAGTTCAATTTGTTGCCGGAATATTTTTGATTTTTTTGACATCAACACTGGTATACTATAGTGTTCAAGACTCGTGAAGAATGCGGAAGTAACAGTAACATAATTATTCATGTGGCGAAGCTAAGGTTTTTTGGCCGTGGTCTGCAGGTGTTTTATGCTTGACGTTTCGTTCACTACTGCGGTTTCTAGTCGTGTTTCGCTAAAATTATCCCAATCCGATCTGTAACAGGCCTAGCTGGGGTTACTTTGGCCTTCTCTCTCCTGGGTCTGATGGCCCGCTAGGCCCTCTAGTGGTTAGAGTTTTTATACAGGTTCCTGTCTGTGTATGTTGGTTTCTTGTACAGTCTATAGCACTGTCCCATCTTCACGTCTGTTCACAAGAACATCCAAGAAGGCTATAGTCTCTTGGGTTTCTCGTTCCATTGTGAATTGGATTCTTGAGTTGAGAGAGTTTAGATATAATCGATAAAATCGTTTAGCGTCTCTTCACCATCTTGCCATACCACGAAGATATCAACATAACACAGTCAACAACAACAAAATAGCCTTGACTCCGGCTGTGAAACTTTACATTCCTTGATTATTATTCACGTTGAAGTCACTATCACTAGTAAAATTTCATGAGATGGGCATTTTAGAAATATCCTCGAAAATATTACCAAAGCAGCATTACAAAACTAGAGTTAATTACTGCAGTGGAATCCACCAGTTCCCTTATTGACCAGACCGAGGCAGAAGAGTTCAGATGGAAAATTAGAGAACAGCTGGATCGAGAACCAGTTCCAACATCTAACATCAGCAATGAAGAACGTAGAGCTCTGAACAGTCTACGTAGAGACAACACCGTCAGGATCCTACCTGCAGGTAAAGGAAACGCTACTGTGGTAGTGGATACCGTTCTCTACGAACAGAAGATCGAAGAGGTTCTTCAGAAGGGACGATACACAAAGATCGTACGGGACCCTACTGCATCAATCGAAAGAAGTTGTACCAGATTTTGAAAAAACACCAAGTCTATTTTGTCGGACAAGGAAAGATCATCGCTAACACCGCACCACAGTAAGCCCCCTCACTTGTATGGACTACCCAAAATCCACAAGAAGGACGTTCC